GCCGTAGGGAACTGTACATAAAGACTGAAAAATGTGCCCATACCCATTATTGATAGGTAACTTAGACTTTGGAGTGGCCAGTGAAGTCTTCAGGTGCACTTTCCCACCTAGGTATTCATATGAGTTGAAGATATGGATATTAGCTTTCAATCTAACCACCTGGAGTCAAGAATTTTGCCGTAGAGAAATGGGAAGATAGCGATTCCTGCCACCACCCCTGTGCTAAAAAATGAGAAATTTGGTATGTTGTGTGAGCCTCCGGTGCACTTTCCCAACCGGGCATTGTCAAGAATAAAAGGGCCCGGGACAAGCTTTCAATTCCACTAGGTTTGGGTAAAAACTTTGCCGTAGGGAACTGTACACAAAGACTGAAAAGTGTGCCCATACCCATTATTGATAGGTAACTTAGACTTTGGGTGGCCAGTGAAGTCTTCAGGTGCACTTTCCTACCAAGGTCTTCATATGAGTTAAAGATATGGATATTAGCTTTCAATTTAACTACCTGGGGTCAAGATATTTGCCATGGGAAACGGGAGGATAGCGATTCCTGCCACCACCCCTGTGCCGAAAAATGAGAAATTTGATATGTTGTTGTGAGCTTCCGGTGCACTTTCCCACCAGGGCATTTTTCATGAATAAAAGGGCCTGGGACAAGCTTCCAATCCCACTAGATGTGAGTAAAAACTTTGTCGTAGGGAACTGTACACAAAGACTGAAAAATGTACCCTTACCCATTACTGATAGGTAACTTAGACTTTGGGTGGCCAGTGAAGTCTTCAGGTGCACTTTCCCACCCAGGTATTCATATGAGTTGAAGATATGGGTTTTAGCTTTCAATCTAACCACCTGTGGTCAAGAACTTTGCCGTAGGGAAGTGGGAGTAAAGCGACAGCTGCCACCACCCGTAATGGAGAAAAATTCGAAATTGGGTATGTGGTTGTCAGCTTCCGGTGCACTTTTCCATCTGGGCATTTTCATGAATAAAAGGGCCTGGGACAAGCTTTCAATCCCACTAGATGTGGGTAAAAACTTTGCCGTAGGGAACTGTATAGAAAGACTGAAAAATGAGCCCCTACCCATTACTGATAGGTAACTTAGACTTTGGATGGCCAGTAACGTCTTCAGGTGCACTTTCCCACCCAGGTCTTCATACCAGTTGAAGATATGGGTTTTAGCTTTCAATCTAACCACCTGTGGTCAAGAACTTTGCCGTAGGGAAGTGGGAGTAAAGCGACAGCTGCCACCACCCGTAATGGACAAACATTTGAAATTGGGTATGTGGTTGTCAGCTTCCGGTGCACTTTCCCTTCCGGGCATTTTCATGAATAAAATGGCCTGGGACAAGCTTTCAATCCCGCTATAATTATTTTCCATTTGAAAACCTGTTGACTCTAATGATCCTTTTCCGGGAAAAAAAGTGTGTATCTTCTCAAATCTAATCCTTCTTCCGGCACCACATGTTGTACATAGTTCTCTGGTTTTCATGCTCTGGATCTGAATTTACTTCATACTCTAATTCAGATTTTAAATCTGAATTAAAATCATTGAAAAATTTAGTTTTTCCATATTACCTCTTGTTCCACTTTTCTTTCTTATAGCCATTCCACTTTTACCCTCGTCCTGTTTTGTTTCATTACTAACTCCATTTTTGTTAAATGGTGTTTGTTATTTTAAATGTTGATGTCATGTTTTTGTTGTTAGTACTTTACAATATATTTGTTTTAGTTTAAAATAAAAAGATTTCTTGGTATGCGCAATTCACTTCACATATTGCTCCATCTTAGAATCTTCCGTTAAATTTTGAATATGAACCCTATTGTTATGGAAAAATGTTCTTCTTCCTTCCTTTGAAACCTTGATCCTTAGTTTGAAACCAGTGTCTAAGAAAAGTATTCCTGTTAGACTTTTTAGTCAATTTTAAACCGTCACTTCTCCTGTATGACCCTTTCAAGTATGTTCCCTTGTAAAACACTGCTAACCAAGTACATACAAATACGTGCAATGTTTCCACCTTTCGGTCTTTAACTGACGAGTACTGCTTATTCCAAACCTACTCTACACATCTTCTACATTTAAGATTTTATTAAAAACACTCCAGTGAGGATATCCTTCCATTTTATTGCTTCACAATTATTTTTCTTTGGCTTTTTCTTCAAATACGTTTACGGATTGACTAAAAAATTTATCGTCCTACTCCTCAAACATAGTTATTTTTCATTTATTGTCATAGCTGTAAATTATGGGTCAAAAAGGATCTAACAAAAACACTTTTCTGTCAGGTTCACAGACAATAACTTGGGTATAAGTGTAGGGATCTCTATTAAATTTACGCACAAGGTTCCATACAACAAAAGGAAGGGGAAGGTTAGGATTTATTTTTGGTTAATTGTCGTAGCTGTTAGGTAATTAGGGGTCAAAAAGGGGCCAAAACAAGAATTTTTCATGTTTCAGGACAATAAATGGTGTATAAAAGTATAGATTTCTATGAAATTTTACCACAAGGTTCCTAACTTCTAAAGAAGTTTCGATCGATTTTTGGAGGGTCATGGCCCATACCGTTTGATAATAATGGAGGCAGAAAACAACTATTTTTCTGATTTGCAGACAATAACTTGTGTATAAGTTTATGGATCTTTATTGAGTTTTAGTTCAAGGTTCCATACCACAATGGAAAGGTTTGGGTTTACTTTAGGGGTCATTTCGATAGCTGTTTAGAATAAGGGGCCAGAAAGGGCGTAACAAAAACAATTATTTGTCTGGTTCCGAGTGGAAAAATGCATCGGAAGCTCACAACATCATACCAAATTTCTCATTTTTCAGCACAGGGGTGGTGGCAGGAATCGCTATACTCCAGTTTCCCTACGGTAAAGTTCTTAACCCTAGGTGGTTAGATTGAAAGGTAATATCCATATCTTCAACTCATATGAATACCTGGGTGGGAAAAAGGACATGTAGACTTCACTTGCCACCCAAAGTCTAAGTTAGCTATCAATAATGGGTATGGGCACATTTTTCAGTCTTTGTGAACAGTTCCCTACGGCAAAGTTTTTACCCACACCTAGTGGAATTGAAAGCTTGTCCCAGGCCCTTTTATTCGTGAAAATGGCCGGGCGGGAAAGTGCACCAAAAGCTCACAACAACATACCAAATTTCTCATTTTTCAGCACAGGGGTGGTGGCAGGAATCGCTATCCTCCCGTTTCCCTACGGCAAAGTTCTTGAACCCAGGTGGTTAGATTGAAAGCTAATATCTATATCTTCAACTCATATGAATACCAGGGTGGAAAAGTGCACCTGAAGACTTCACTGGCCACCCAAAGTCTAAGTTACCTATCAATAATGGGTATGGCCACATTTTTCAGTCTTTGTGTACAGTTCCCTAGGGCAAAGTGTTTACCCACACCTAGTGGGATTGAAAGCTTGTCCTAGGCCCTTTTATTCATGAAAATGCCCGGGTAGGAAAGTGCACCGGAAGCTCACAACAACATACCAAATTTCTAATTTTTCAGCACAGGGGTGATGGCAGGAATTGCTATCCTCCCGTTTCCCTACGGCAAAGTTCTTGACCCTAGATGGTTAGATTGAAAAGTAATATCCATATCTTCAACTCATATGAATACCTGGGTGGGAAAATGCACATGAAGACTTCACCGGCCACTCCAAAGTCTAAGTTACCTATCAATAATGGGTATGGGCACATTTTTCAGTCTTTGTGTACAGTTCCCTACGGCAAAGTTTTTACCCACACCTAGTGGAATTGAAAGCTTGTCCCAGGCCCTTTTATTCATGAAAATGCCCGGTTGGGAAAGTGCACCGGCTATTTTATCCAATAGGGTAAAACGAATAATTATTGCCCTAATTTCAAAGAATGTGATGGTAATTGTTTGTCAATTAAACTTTACCCTTACTCCTCCTAAAAAAATTCAACATACCTTTTTGTGCGCACTGGTTCCCGGAAATTTGGAAGTACAAAAATAGGTACTGAGCAAAATCTCAGCAACAGGGCAAATATGCCCTGCTTTATAATTTTTTTTTATTATTATTCAAAAGAGACTTTCAACAATGGTCCTTTAGTGAATACAAGTGATTAAGGTTTCATTTGATACCAAAATAAACCAAATATATTACTTATTGACAAAGTTTTAGCTATATGCGTAGGAACTATTTTGTTTGAAATATGTACTACTTTCTTGTTTGTTGTGTTTGACCGGGCCGATACAGTAATTCTTTACCTAAAGGGTTTAAGGAAATACACGATATTTGAGGATGCCGAGAGTATAGAAAGCTGTTATATGATTTTATCTACCGCATATAGCGTCTTTCTTGTTCAGTTTAACTTTTTATTTATCTCATCGTAACTTGACATCTATACTAATGTAAGATTATTTTTATATGTTCTACAATTCTCAATACACCTCTGAATCTTGAGGCTTGGTTTAGCCGTTATGCTCTAAGATGGCCATTCATTAATTCATCTATACTATATGTAGTTAGTGTTACTCGTTAAAAATCTTAATTTTAAGTATCGCAAACAAATAACATAGATACTTTTATTTTTTTTAACTTGTTTTGTTTTTGCTTTTTTTTTGTTTTTGTTTTTGATTTTGTTATTGTTTTTGCTTTTTTTTTTCTTACCTTTTCGGCAAGAAACGAAGATCTCGATTTCATATAAGTGTACAATGCCATGTAATATAAAATCTTCAAATACTGAACTACTGATTTAAAGCATAAGCCTTGTGCAACCACGCTACTCACGTTAATTGTTAGAAAGATTGAATTCCAAAGTAAAATTTATACAAAATTAATTACTTTATCCTTTCTAAAAAGTATATGTATTTATTCTTCCGTCCCTTATTTATTGCAAATGTAGACATATGTGGTCCATTAAACATTTAAAAGCGATATATTACGTATTTCTTATCAGAAGAACGTTGTAGCATAATGTCAATTTGTGATTTTCAGACATATCTCTGAAAGGTTCTCTAACGTGTTGATTCTCATTGTTAACTTTAGTGGTCGATAGAATTAGTCGCTAGCTTGATTGGTCGCTGGAATTGGTCGCTAGCTTGAGTCTGGTTAGTTTTTTAATAATTTTATATTGATTTGGGGTATGTTCTACATATCTTTTATAAATATGTTATGGAAATCTTATATTAATGGCCAATTGTGGTATTTGAATCAATCAGGGACTATATATTTGCATTAAAATATTGTACACAAGTAAAGGTCATTCTTTGTACATATTTTATTACATATATGTTACTAGCCATGACATATCCAGACTTATAGAGGTAGAACGTCATTGTGAGAAAAACGTGGTTAAATTTATGTGACTAGCCACTTCCTGACAAAAAAGGGTGCATTGTCTAAAATTTGCTTTTTGTTTATTTCTCTAGAATATTCGAAACAAAACTCTCTGTCATGTTATTATGACATATTTGTTGTAATAGCAATGAAACGAGTCATTTCGAATACCGGTATGAAAATGACTTTTATTTATTGGAGGCACTAATTCATAAAATACAAAATCATTGTATTTATTGGCGCTTAGTAATGTTCAATGGCGTATTTGAATAAAATTCAAAGAATTGAATTTACTACAATACAAACAATTCTTAGCTCTATTATAGAACATGTTTTTTAAACTTGTTGAGATGAAGTTAGTTTAAAATTTGTCACAGTAAGCCATAAGAAATCCTTTTTTTAAATTGTCTTTTAATTAAGATTTATCATGCATGTCTCTATACATAGTATGCGACGATTAACAGTTTATAAGTAGGTGTTCTCATATATGATTTGATACGGTGCATTTATTATGGATATATTTCAGACTCCATTTACGAAAGAAAATCTATAGGGCAGAGAATTTTGATTTTTTTGTAGCTCTATTTTAGAACATGTAATTTAAACTTGTTAAAATGAAGTTAGTTTAAAATTTGTCAAAGTAAGCTTTAAGAATTCCTTTCTTTAAATTTGTCTTTTAATTTAGATTTATTATGCATGTCTCTATACATAGTATGCGACGCGTAACAGTTTATAAGCAGGTATTCTCTTATATGCATTTGATACGGTGCATTCATTATGGATAAATTTCAGACTCCATTAATTCCATTTATGAAAAAAAATCTATGGAGCAGAGAAATTTTTTTTTTGTATCAATTTAAAATGTAGATTCAAATATTTTTCACTTCAAACGATGACGTAAAACTTCTTGAAAACTTATATATGATGTATAGTTCGGCGTCCGCAAAAAAGAAGCCAAGGTAAAGTGTTTATCTCTACTTCACAAATACGTATTCCATTGAATCTCGATATTTATCATGTTTATAATTTTTTCTAACAATGACGTTCTACCTCCATAAGCCTGGAAATGTCATGGCGGGTCACAATTTTTATAATGAATAAAGGTACCAAATATTAGTTAATATTATAAAAAAATAGGTATATTGTTTGAGACAAACATAGCACATCACTACCAAAAAAATTTAACTTTAATCTTGGAATTTCCAACTTAAATTTTGGAATTATCAACTTTAATCTTGGAATTATCAACATTAAAGTTGGAATTTCCAAGATTAAAGTTGATAATTCCAAGATTAAAATTGATAGTTCCAAGATTAAAGCTGGAAATTCCAAGATTAAAGTTGATAATTCAAAGATTAAAGTCGACAATTTGAAAAAAATAAATGAAAAGGAAGGCCCTAATACGCTTCCGTAGGTTTTAAAAAAGTAAAATTTATATATTTCCAAAATTATCTACAGATTGATATTTAAAATTCATTGATTCTGTAAGAGAAATTGTAAATTTGGACATTATTAAAGGAAAATTCTAAAAAGTACTAAAACAAGAGTCAACCAATCGTATATGCTAAAACGCGTTCTTAACACTGTCACTTAAAATAACCAAATAGAGATATGTTTATATTTTAATGGACAGAGAGCTGGTAAGTTTACAAAAATGAGATTTTTAGATTTTTAAAAATGCATTTTTACTGGATTATCTCCCTTTGTATCATAGAAATTCAATATTTATGGCATCATAAATTGTAACTGAACTATGGTCATCGTTACTTTGACTTATTTTGTTAAATGTTATAGTGCTTTTGAAAAAGAAACACTTACATTTTCAAAATTATCTACAGAATACCTTTCTTAAATTTATTGATTTATTGAGAGAAAATGTAAATTTAGGCATTTTTAGATTAGAATTTTAGAATGTACTACAATGAGACCCCAGCAAGTTTACTAGCTAAGTATTCCAATTGATAAAACAAAGGCAGTTATCTTTATATTTTTAATGGACCATAGGCTAGATAATTTTAAAAATACGTACTTTTTATGATTTTCTGAAAATATTTTTTTTACTGGATTATCTCACTGGGAATAATCCACAAAAAGTTTCTCATAAATTCAAGTACTGATGAGTTAATGAAGCTTCAATACTTTATTTTTCAATAAATTATCGTTCTTTATCTCGTTGTTTTCTGCATTCATAAGTTACAGGGTGTTGAAATTGGTCATTTTCATAGAAAAATACTGCCTCCAACTGGGGAAACTGGTTCCCGGTACATTACAGCATCTCCTAACTGAAAGGCATGGGAACCAGCTGAAATATTTGTTTTGTGGACTTCTTTCATAATGTTGTTTAAGCACACAAAGTTTCGATTAAATCTGATGACCTCCTTGTGAACTGTTTTGCATGGTTTTATGGTAGACTGGGTGTTAAGAGAATTCAATTCATACACCTTATTTCAGAAAATGAAAAGAAAAATAAATCTGTACTCCTGTCCTTTGGCCTAAATTTTTTTTAAAGTACGATGAAAATATTCCGTCTTTATTTGATAAACCAACATTCTTTATGAAGAACTATTTATAGCAGGCTTGTCTCATTTGTAGTTCATCTGTTTAAAATCTTTACAACTCTTGCAACAATAGAAGATGGCTTTACAAAATAGTGTGATGAGGTAAACTTAACTAACAGTTGTAAATCAGATGTTGATTCTCAAAAAATGCCAAAAGATTTACTACAAAATCTTCAAACACGACTGTCACAATAACAAGTCTGTAATAATACTAAAACCTTTGATTTTTGTACAACATACGCTACTAGATTTCATGTTTAATTGGAAAAACAACTATATTATCGTATTAAACAGTGGACATCGTCTTGATAAAGGTCATGAAAATTCCACAAAGAATACAAGAATGAATAGACCGAAGACGACATCATTGAAACGTAGGATATTTGTATCGACAACATTTTGTCCGTTTGGTGATTTCTTTTTGTTTTTTATATAAAACATTTCGTACAAAACCTTCTCAGAGATAAATAGAAACAGTTATGGACTTAGACTTACAATTAACTTTCATAAAAAGGGCGAAGACCTGGTGCTTAAATGCCCATATTTCAGTGAAAATATGCCTCTCATATATCTCAGCGAAATAAACATTAAGTTTTGCTTCATATTTAGGTCTTCAAATCGACACTACTTACGTTCGTTTTCACAATCACGAATAGGCTGACCGAAACTATGAGTCTGTGTATCAGATCATGAGAAATGTATTTTCGAGGTTTTAGATCTGAAGATACAAAAAAGTCGTCTTATCTGTAAATTTTCAGATTGTGTCCGATTACCTATTTTGACAAATAGACTGACTCCTTATTCGCAAGGCTGATGGTGCGTTCATAGACAGAGACTCAACCGTTCTAGCTCCTGTTGAGGTGCATGAGATTCTCTCAGCGTTTCTTTACTTGGTTTGCAAATTCAAAATAGATTGAGGAGTTTTTGAACATAGTTTAACAATTGTTGTCTCATTATTGTAAAAAAAAATGTCATTGCAAATTTCTTTTGCTCATTAAGACTTAAATACCTAAATTAATTAGAACACACAAACCGATAAAACGCTGTCTTGATAATATGTTGATAATATAGTGTGCATGCCTAAAGTATGCTAAATCGATTTGTATATCCACAGCCATGTTAAACCACGTTGAGATTTCCTTGCGTTTTCGTTTAAAAATGCATTTAGAAGACAAAAAACTGGTCGGTTCGGAGTCCATCTAATATATAATGGGATTATTCTGTCTTCAAAGAAAGCATTGATTGCGATATATATATTTGTGTTAATTAACGCTTTAACAAACTTCCTTATACACATTTCATAATACACCCTAAAAGTACTCACATGGTGTATGTATTTGTCCTTTATCTTGGTAAAACTATGTGACGTGATTATTTGTGTATATGACATTAAATAAGATAAGTGTGTACTAAATGCGTAATCATATACAAATCTATCGCACAAATGGTGGGAAAATATTAGTGATGTTACAAAATTGTATTTAGCTTCCTCTGAGGAAGGTCCATCTTTGTTGAAAGTACAGCTATATTTCAGGTTAAAGAGAACCTTAAATCATTTTATTTGTAACTTCAATTTTTACCTTTGAACCATGGTCAGACGTGCATTAATTTTTTGGTCACTCTTCATAGATTGAAATCATTTGTGTTTAAAAATAGCTATCAGGGATGGTTTAATTTGGGGTTTGATGGTACAGACATTCAAGTAGAATATTTCGGTTTGGGTGGAAGTACGCTTCGTCCGGGTCCAAAATGCGTTCAAAGGCAAGAATTTATCAAAATTATTGATGATAAGCCTCATTGTGTTTATCTTCAAATTGGCGGCAATGATTTATCCGCTGAATTTTTGCCAATTACATGATCAAACGCTATCATGTTCGTCACGTGATTATAGGTCAGTTGCTCCCGAGATACTCCGGGGGTTTGGAAGACAATTATAATAACAAAGTTATAGAGATAAACAAAGAGCTACGAAAAAATGTATATCAACGTTGCGATATTAGCTACTGGCAGCACAGGGGTTTTTGGAAAAACATTCAATGAGGCGACAATTGGGGATGTTTTTGAGATGGAGACTACTGCTTTGCCGACATTAAATAGACCAAGGGCAAAGAAACGTAGGAGTACTAGGACACAACCACAACGAGCTGATTTGCCGGACAATATTACTATGAGTTCTTCGAACAATAATCTTCAAACCAGTCCATCCGCTAATGACATTGGTGAAACATTTTTTTGCAAAGTTGCACAGTTCCGGCATTCAACTAGTAAAGGACAATAACGTGATGCCGACCATTTCAGTCATACTAAATCCTTCTTCACAAACTGGTCATGCAAGCACAACACAGTCTATGCAGATTCCGGTTATTACAAGTATACCGCCGTTGGCATCTATACAACATGACAACAGTGATGACCATGACTCATCATTAGCAATATTTCAGCCACCCTTATCATCGGATCCGGATTTAATAGCTAGTGAGCAGTTTTACTCAAGCTCTGCTAATGTAGACACCCCTATGCATGTCATATGTTAAAAGATTCTATACCAATAGATTTTCATGTTAGTTGTAAGATAAAAGATGATGTTTGGGCAGACAAGTATGTGAACTTTGCCTTTTTGCTGACGTCTTATATTGAGGAAGATTCCTCAACTTTGTTTGAAAATTTTAACATCACTCTTTCAAATAGGAAAAACAAAAGGGAGCTCCAATCAATTCATCAGTGGATGAATGCTTTTGACATATTTGTGTCCATTTATTTAGGAAAGTCTTTGAATTCTGCTTTGGCCTTGATAAAGTATGGTTATACTATTCGTGGTTTATGTAAATCTTTGGGATTTCAAGCAGCTAAAACATATGATGAGAAATTTAGAAAGGTTAGAAAAGTTCTAAATTTTAGATGGGATACCATAAATGACGAGTTATGGAGGTCTTTTTCTCTGACTGAACGGTCAAACAGTGCCACGTCTCAGGAAAGGAGCTCCTTTATGAATACCCCTAAAATACATTTCCAAGTAGGGTCCAACAACAATTTCAGTTCCCCATCGGCTATTGTTTGGCTTTCTGTAAGTCAGGGGAATGTACATAAAAAAAACTGTAAACTCAAACACCAGTGTGTCCATTGCAGCAATAAACATTATACCCTCACTTGTACAGAGGGCCAAGTTAAACGAGCATCCTCTGCCAAACCTTCCTTCTCCGGTAAAAGTTCTTGAATTGAATAAATATTTATCGGGTTACAATCAACAGTTGAAAGAGAGATTGATACATGGTTTTACACATGGGTTTTCAATAAATTCTTTTTTTTCAAGATCTGATTTAAATTTTCCTCGAAATCATAATAGCGCCAGAGAAAATCCAGTTGTAGTACAATGAAGAATTGAAAAAGAATTAAAGATTGGGCGTATTAAAGGTCCCTTCAAAAATGCACCTTTCCTTAATTTTGTTTGTTCTCCTTTAGGGTAAGTTCCAAAGAAAGAGCCGAATTCATTTAGATTAATTCATGATTTATTCTACCATAAAGGGTAAATTCAGTTAATCAGGTATGTCTCCAGAATTTTCAGCAGTGCAATACCAAAATATTGAGGCAGTTATAGAATTAGTCCAGTTGTATGGTTCACGGTGTCTAATTTCGCTTAATTCCGATTTCAGAAAAGGATCATAATTTATTAGGATTTCAGTGGGATAGTAAATATTATTATGACGCATCTCTACCAATGGGGGCATCCTCGTCCTGACAGTTATTTGAACCTTTCTCAACGGCACTTCAATGGATCTTAAATGAGAAATTTCGCATTCATGAGGAATCTCACTTGCTTGATGAATTTTTCTTTGTAGGAAAATCTGGTTTTAATTTTTCTTGAATATTTTTACTGGTCATACGCTTTCAGACCTCGTGTATAAGCCATGGCATGGGAACCCTTTGTTTAAAACAAACACGGCCCAAGAATGGGTTTCAGTATATCCAGACTTCAGAAGAAGCATTATAATATGACAGCAATATAACAATCTTGAATCAAAATGTCTAATTGAAATCTCTTCAAATATAACTTTTTTAAAATTTCAGTAATATAATAAGGCATTTTCTCCTCTAGATTGACAGATCAGCCAGTGGCAGGAAACCCTTGCACAATTATTTAAAGGTGGATTAAGTTTCCTGAAAGGAACTGTTATTTATTTTTTATTCAGTAGTATTATTGGGATAACCAGTGTCAGCGGAAGTCCTTCCCACTTTTGTTTGAGTATATACCCCAAAATGATGTTTTATGTAAATTGGGATTCTCGAAAGAATTGGTACTAAGATAGATTTTATACTCCCTGGGGCGTATACTTCTTGCTTAGTAATTGTTTTGGATGATAACTCAAGTATCCCATCATGAATTATAACACATTTAACAGGTGATAAGTTAGCAATAATAACATGTTTTATTTGTCTCTCTAAGCAAACTAGTGTTTTGAACCCTTGAAATAAAAATGTTTTCTCTCAATGAATGTTCATTTTGGCGGAGTATTAAGCAGCTAGCTTTTTACATGTTTTTGTTGTTTGTTTTTTTTCGTTGTTGTATTTTTTTGGGGGGAAGGTGGGGTTGTAGCGTATTGTGTCTTCCATTTTCTTCACGCATGGTTCTCCTTCAACGCTCCCGGAGAGATATTCAAACTGATTAGTCGAAGACAAACTGACCACGCAATGGCACAACACGAATAACTACGAAGAGACGAACAACAGTCTACAAAACACAACAGCAAAAAAATGAGCTATATGTACCCTACTAAAAATCATTATTGCACTGGTTGATTGTTAAAATGTTGTACATGAATAAACATTTCTATTTGCAGATAAGATGAATACATTGTATATACCTGTAATAGATTTCCAGACGTATGCCTTAGGTCAAGATTGTCCAGCTGCTGACCTGGACAAATTGGGATCAGAAATGTGTAAAGCGCTTGAAGATATAGGATTCTGTTACCTGAAAAACCATGGCATTTCTCAAGACGTTGTAAGTTGTTGTAATACGTACAAATAATGACAGTTGGGATTCAGATCGAATGATCAACAATCAAATCCCGTTTTGCGGGAGATAATATTTGACTTCAAATAATGGCAGATTTCAGAATATTTATATAACACCTAAGTTAATTATTGTTGAGTAACGAGGTAGCTAGTTTTTAATTACCATATGTGTTACATTTTTAGTTTTGTTAAGTATATTAGAAACAACTCAGCCGAAAAAGATTGTAAAACAAGAGCATATACAAATCTAAAAAAAAAATTGAGAACAATTGAATTGCTTTCCACTAACAAATTCGAACTTGTTGATCCTTTAAGTTGAAATTAGTTTGAATAAAGATAAAAAAAAAAAGAAAATAATTTTTGTTTAATAAATACTGAGAAAACATATAAATTGCGGTTCAAAAAGAGAGGCGAAAGATACCAAAGTGAAAGAGACGTTCAAACTCATAAGTCGAAAATAAACTGACAACGCCATAGCAAAACAAGAAAAAGACCAAAAACAAACAACAGTACACAAAACACAACATAGAAAAAACCTAAAGACTGGGCAAAACAAACCCCACCAAAAAACCGAGGGTGATCACAGGTACTCCTGAAGGGTAAGCAGATCCTGCTCCACTTGTGGCACCCGTCGTGTTGGTCATGTAAGTCACATGTGGCACCAGTCGTGTTGCTCATAAAAAGTCACTTTAGGCATTAGGAAAAAGCTTAGATAATACTAGTACGAATTTCATAAATATATAGGTTATTGAAAATGTGTATGAATTAAGAGAGACAATCAGCTACTCCCGGTTAATTGAAATGATAGCTTACTTCAAGTTACATTGATTCCAAAAATATATAAGGTTTCTACATATTTCAACTCGAAAAAGGGAGTTAATTTTCTACCTTTCAGTGTCATATGATCTATCTGTTTGTTTTGTTCACACATTGTTGTCAATATAATTGAATTTTATGCGACTGTCATACAAGTGAGAGGTTTAGCTAACTATAAAACCAGGTTTAATCCACCATTTTCTAAATGAGGAAATGCCTGTACCAAGTCAGGAATATGACAGCTGTTTTCCATTCGTTTGATGTATTTGAGCTTTTGATTTTGCCATTTAATAAGGAACTTTCCGATTTGAATTTTCCTTGGAGTTCGGTATTTTTGTTATTTTACTTTTTACATCATAAATTGATTTCAAAAATATAAGTTTTTCATACACTTTTGCTTGAAATAATGAGATACCTTGCTACGTGTGTTTTAAAAAGCCACTGTCAGTGTAATATGATAGCGTACATTACACTGACTCTAAACATATATGCTTTCTATTATTTCCTTTAAAATACGGGAGATACTTTGTTACTTTCGGTTTACATAATATCACAACCGTTGTTGTATGATTTGTTTCTTTATGTTGAGAAAATAAAAATATACTATATCTAGCTAAAATTAGTACAAAAATGCAACTTCCGGTTTACATATCAACCAGTATGAAATTATCACCATTAAATGATCTATTTAGGTTTCAAAAGGGCAATAACTACTCCTATAAATGTCATTGGATTGGTTAAAACTCAATGTATCTAAATCTTCGTTATAATGTTTCAAACATTTTTCTCCGTTTCTTTATTTGTATTCCTTTGTAAGTTTAAATTGATTAGGATTAAACGAGCAAAGGTCAAAATCTAGAACGTCAATTTGGCCTTTGATCTTGACCTTAATTTAAAAGGTCAAAGTCATGTACCTGAAATAAAAAGCCAACCCTTACATGTATGGCTAATTAGTCATTCTACAAACCAGCTTATTTTGAACTTTTAAGGGGGAAAACATAAAAAGTCATAAGACCGCTTTGACCTATGTTTATTGGCGTTACGACCAATTATATGTTAAAAACTCCTGTGGTTTCTGAGGTGTTGCGCTAACAAACAAAGTTCAATATTTAGAACATGACCTTATCCTCAATTACCTACTTATGGACTAAATACGGTATGTCATTTATATCGAACACAAAACGGAAAATAACTCGTATTGCATGTAACCAGATCACTTTGATCTAAATTGGGCAGATCATCATGAGGAAGTAACGAACATTTGGGAGAAAAATTTCAGCGATATTTTTTACACTTTCTAAAGAGAAGCGATAACAAAACAAACAATATACGGGGAAATAACTCTTATATGTAAAAGTGTTCGTTTAAACAGGGTGAGTTTCAAAAGTGCAATAATTGTACGATATCATATATAAAATATCTTACCGACATGTTGCGAAACAAAAGCGACACTTTAGAGACAAAAGCGGCGGAACTCAAAATCAGAACAACATCAAATTAAAGGTCTTTCCACAGAACGATTTTTAAAAAATATCATAGAAATTTAATTTACCCGGTATTTAGCTGTAAAATATATCTTATATATATGTTTATCGTATATAGTGTATTTTATCATTGGATTAACGAGTTCTTAATCAGGACGTCTACTCTCTTTCTCAACAAGAAAACTCTGTTAACTTTATTAATGCAAATTCGTTAAATAAAATTATTGAATATTTTGTATCCTTCACCTGGATAGTAATTATTATCAAATTCCTTATTTCTTATATATTTTCCATAGGAAAACATTCGTTATCATTGGTTATATGAAAAAAATGCATCCAATATTATCTCTAGTGTGTATTTCGAAAGTATTAATCATCGAGTTAAAAAATAAACATTTACGAGGTTTTCAATAAAAACAAGTAATTGGGTATGTTCGTGAAAAGTTTGCTAAAAAATTCATCTAAATTTAATATGGTCTTTGTATCCAGTCAAATGTGCTTAACCGGTGTTTTAATTTTAATTTTCAGATAAACGATGCCTTCAGGTCATCAAGAAGGTTCTTTATGCAACCAGATGAAGAAAAAGAAAAGTTCGCGAGATCAAAATCAAAACATTATAACTTTGGATGGGTTGGAAAAGAGGGTGAAAAGTATAAATAACTAATGTAGCAAAATTTCATATTTATTAAGGAATATTTTTCTGGCATATTCTACATTTGATAATACAAATACATCCCAATTTTGGATTGATTGATTGATTGATTGTTGGTGTTAAACGCCACTTTCAGTACTACTGGATATATCGTTGCGGTACGATTTTATTGGTGGAGGAAGCTGGAGTGCTCGACGAGAACCACCGGTCTAATTTTTTAAGTCTACAGTTGTGTTGACCCCTAAAAGTCTCTTAACTTTTATTTTATTTCATCGTAAGTGTGTTAATTGGAGTGTTGTTACATTGCCTTTTACTCTAAATTCAATACAAAGTATATGATACAAGAAAAGGCAAAGCATTATTCGTTGTTATTAATTCATTTTAACGATATGTGGTTTATAGTCATTTGGGAAAGAATGTGCATGCTCGCAAACCTCCCACTTTACCTTTTATATGTCGTAAAAACTAAAACACACAATAAAAAAAAACCTACACAAAGCAGCTAATATCTGGATGACCACTAACAATTAAGGGTAAAAATACAGCACGAAGTTTGGGAAGCGGAGCCAAAACTGCCGCTTAAGACAAGCAACATAAGCTACATAAAGTAGCATCATAAAATTAATTGAAATCGGCAGTTTATGTGAAAGGCCATCAAGTATCTAAAATCGTCACCCATCGGAAGATCCATTTTACTGAATAAGTGGATATATCCCGTCTGTAGCCTTTGCTGTTAAACGATATAGACTGAAATTTATCTTTCTATGCATACATACATACAATTTTAATTCATCAGGAATTGATCATGATGCCTATTAATTCATGTTTCATGTTCAGTGGCAAATATTATTTGCATTTCCGGACAAAAAATATGTTTATTCAATACAAATATATATGAACCCTGCTTTGTTCTTGACCGACACACTGAACCGATTTCTAACGTGCTAATTCGTAGGAGGACTTACACACTGACCACCCACTACTTGACGCTCCAGACAAGAGCGAAACAACAGCAGGGATCCATTGTAGAAGAATTATCACTACACACGTTATTAGTAGAAGCCATTTGAAATTGATTGAAAAAAATAATATCTGTTAGAGTGCTTCTAAAAGACTATTAAGAGCATTGTAATATTTTTGATGACTGTCTTATTGACATTCCTGTATCATCTCCTTACATGAGCATGTCTTTCGACTCATTGTGTCGGACTAGCGCATATACATTTATATACATGTATTATCTCGCCCTGAATATAGCATTCAGCAATTATCAATAAATTTGGAGAAAAAAAATTAAGTGAAGAAATAACAAATATATTTTGTTCTTTGGTCTTTGTTTAGATAGTCCATGAACTGTAGGAAATACTACAATTAAAGCTTCTGAGAGAACTCTTTGACTAAAGCATATACTAAGAAGCTTTTATTTTAAAAGTTATTTAATATCGGTATTGTTTTATAGGCTGAACGGTCCAGAACATCCGGGGGATTATAAGGAAACATGGAACGTTACTATTTATAAGCAAGAAGAATATTCAGATGTATGTTTTTTTCTTGCGATTATATTATTGCTAAATATCTAATAACAGCTAGTTAGATTTTAGGAATTCTATTCTAATACCATTGACTTTTTGTCATGTTTTTTTGGACGTTAGTTTACATATTATAAAAATTAAAATCATCAAATATGCATTTAATTGTGTATCATATAAATAAGAAAAAGAGGATGACGTATATATGCATTAGTCTGGGATCCTGACACAATAATTTCAATACCGTAAGCGGACTTCCGGTTCGAATATAGTTATATTTGAATTGAAGCTTGCAAATCGAAAATATTTCAACAGCATTCCCGGTTAGTATATGCATGTATGTAAGGGCATACGATACAGTTACAGGGGAGAACATGACTTTTCTCACGTAAAAAGTTATTTTTCGCGACGTCAAACTGTGACATATCGGGAAAAGATGCATTTTTCGACTGATTTATATCATTTAGACTGATTTAACTTGAAAACGAGTTCATGGACCCCTCTTTTTTTAAAATGACATTAGGTTTGATTATATATGAAGATTATTTGTACCAATTTTTATGAAAAAGTCACCGATGATTTTTTTTTTAAATTAGATAAATATACAGCAAAAAATCATGAAACTTTGATAATAATTAATTATTTCCAAAGAATTTTTATACAAATTTAAAGCATAATTATGTAAAGAAAAGTTTCCAAATGTTTTTACAAAAATCCACTTGTGTTTATCTTTTGAAACAAAAAAGTTAGGTATGTCTATCCAAAGGATAGAAATGTCCAAAAAAACAAAACTTTGAGTAAGTGTCTAAAATGTCGACTACATTTATCTCTTAGAGTAGCACATTAAGGTATAATTTTTATTACATATTTGAATTGGCTAGGTGAAAAATAGCTTGTATGCAAATTTTCGTAAAAAATCACAGTGGGATCAAAACTGTATCGTATGCCCTCATAGCAATGTACCTGTCACATTTTTCATTCGGCACGCAGATTTCCTTCAGATATTTTTATCAATTTAATGAATATGATTAAGTTAAGAGAAAAAAAAGTTTTAAAGAAAAACGGTATTTTTTTTTTATTCTGGCTTTATTTAATTAATATATTTTTATCAATTTAATGAAATGATTAAGTTAACAAAAAAAAAACCAGTTTTAAATCACGTAAAAAAGCAAAGAAAAGTAATACGGCATTTTTGTTCATTCTGGCTGTATTTAATCAATAAAATAAATATACGTCGATTGATTGATTGCTTATCAACGACTAGTGGTAATTATTTCGTGAATGAATATATTCAGGTCGAGAAGACATTAACCATTCAAAAAATAGATGGTTTCTGCTACATAGGTCGAACTAAATGATGGTGGTAAAATTTGGTTGCCACTATGAACAGACTGTACAAATGTATGTTGAATAGGTGAAGAAATTATGCCTTGCTACAAGGCATCTACAGGGAGTTGTTTCAAGGGTTCTTACCCTACAGGAGGCATCTCATTTGACTTCCCCAATCCGACCGAACGTGGCTGCTTATTTATACACCCGGCGCAGTCGAACGGACGTCCCACTTTATCAACGTTTACTAGCTACATGTAACAGGCCTAAGCATATTTCTATACCACAGAGAAACCTTTGGGTTAAATACTGAGTTGCTGAGAATCTAAAAGTAATTGACTGGCTGCTCTATAATCATGCCTTTTACATCTAATAACGTTTGCTGTATTTCACAGAATACAACAGTGAAGCAAGATAGAAACGACCTTGCAAAATGTGCAGTTTCAACTGTACAGAATTTCAAAATACAAAATATTGCTTCAAACTAAAAATTGGGGAAATTATCATACCTCCTTTTCCCCAAAAATACTATACGAATGATTCAACAACAACAGTACCCTGAATTATATATTTGTCAATACGTGTGTGTTAGGCAAAGGAGAAGGATTTAACGCGGTCAATTCCTATACTTGATAGCTTTATTCATAATATGACCGTTAATAGACAGATGCAAAATTCCATTTGTCTAGTTTGTGCAAATTGTTTACGTCATAAAAAGTAACAAAACTGACTTAACAATTTTGAGAGCAATGAACATTTTTGTAGAATACACAGGTCTCTTAAGTAATGCTCAACTAAAATTAAACCGGTTTCCTATGCAAGCATATATTAAATGACGACATATTTGCTCTATTCATTTGTACTTTATTTGCACATGTAAGAAGTGCTTGTATTGTTTAAAACATTTGACAGGAATGGCCTTCACATATTCCTGAGTTAAAAAGTTCTATGGAGATTTTGTGGGACAAAGGAACAGAACTTTCACTGAAAGTGTTTGATGTTATTGCAAATGGTCTAAATTTGGAGGTAATATTTTATTTTTGTCAATGGGAAACAATTTACTAGAGAAAACAAAATCTTTCACAGATGCATAATTTTTTTTTTTGTATTCGTTTGTTTAAGTTAACGCCTTCAGGAATTAACAAAAAATGCAAACAAAATGCATGTATAAATATGGGACACCAAAATGATTAAAAGACGCCAGAAAAGCCACAAACCATACTAAACCAAGTTGGAGAAGTTTGAACTCGAGAGAATTTGATTACGAGAAAAAACAAATATATTTTCTCCAATTTTCATGCTATTTTCACATGTTTCGATCGGTGTGAAAAATATTTCTCATCTCGAGAGAAAACTTTGCTTTCGGCAAATGATTGGTACTAATGTTTAAATCTCGGAAATTACTTTTGAATATACATTTCAAAGTGAAAATAACCGAGGTAATCGCATGAACTTACAAAGAAGTTTGCATCGACAGGTTATAACTCCTTCCTGCTATGCATTCATCACTCGTCATGCGAATCCAGACTAATTCAAAATGTCACAAAATTACACATTAGCCGTTGCAACCTCTTGAAGAGATCACACATCGGTGCAGGTGTATCGAGATATTTGGGCATGGTTTTTCATTTCTTGTTTATTTTGTTATCACTTTTGATTAATATACTGCACTTTTCTTTGCGTTTTGACTTTCCCATTTGCTGAGTTCACAAAATATTCCAAGACTGAAGAGATCGAGAACATTCATATTGAAATACTGACAATTCAAAATATTTTGCGAAGTTTTCATTAATGCAAATAATGAGATTAGGTGAGCGTCGCAATATTAACAACTCTTATTCTTATTCTGATATACGATGCATATAAATTATCATCAGACAGATTTTCCTGAAATCGAAATGGTTAATCTCACATGTTTTCCTTTCTAATAAAAAATTGCAATAATTAATGAATTTTCAGTTATTCATTTCATGTGTGAATTACCCATGTTATCTTCCGGTCATGGTAATTTAGGGCATTTATTAAGAAAGAGTATCAGTACACTTGTCCTCTTCAGAATGTTTCGACTCGGCGAAATTTCACCAGTTATTGACACGGTAGCATTTCTGTTCTTCAGGACAAACAGTATTTCCGGAAGTGTCATAAACTAATAGGAACACCAAACAACAAGAGTTTATTAAGGTCATTGTTTTATCCAGAAATTCCTGCGGATTATGGTAATATATGTCACTGTAGACTACCTTTATTTTATACTTCCCTCTACAAAGTATAAAATATGGTATGACTGCCAATGAGACAACTTTCCAGCTGAAATCAAATGACGAAGACGTTAGAAACCATGGGTCACTGTACGGCATTCAACAATGAGCAAAACCCATACCGCATAGCAAGCTATAAAAGGCCCCGAAATGACAAATGTAAAACAAATTCAAACAAGAAAACTAACGGCCCGATTTATGTACAAAACCATAAGCGAAAAACAAATATGATATACGGTAACAAACGATAACCACTGAATTAATTGTCATCGTTGATAACAACATAATGTTTAGAGAATTGGTTCATGAAAACTGCTGAATAACTTAAGGCACAATTCAGGGGCGTAGCTGGCCTAAAATAAAGTGCAAGCATAAGTCTTTGTAAGCCGAGCGGAGCGAGGCGAAAATTTTTTTGGGACCTTTTTATGCAGAAAATTATCATTTTTCGGTCATTTTCCAGGTATGCCATGCTTATGAAATTCACATTACTCCTTATTAACATGGTTGTTTTCAAATATAAAATAAGTTTTATAAAACAGGAATTTCAGTCGACAAGTCAACCGAAGCGTTTATCAATAGAAGGGCAATCAATGGACACATGACCAACCCGGGAACAGATAAGACACAAAAGAACAAACAAAAACATTCAATATTGAAAACTAAATACAGATAAAAAAAACACGAACCCCCCAAAAAAAATGTGGCGACCTCCAGTGCTCCGAAAGGGTAAGCAGGTCCTGCTTCTTGCAAGACACCCGACCGTAGCGTTTCTCACTAAGGTCATTTTCGAATCAAAGGAAGGGTTTCTACGACAACGGTAGAAGGTCACTTGGGACACAGATACCCAAGGTGAATTAGTAGTCTTTTGGACGAACGGATAATGGGAATACGAAATCAAACGGCGACTTTTAAGTCTTGACTTATAAGTGAGGGATATAAATCTAAGATGTTTTCAAGGTTATTGTATTGAGCCTGTATTACTAAATGTTAATACTGCATGTAAGACTTAAAGTATAGTTAATATCCAAAGTCCATATATCTATTTTTTGCCAAGGCAAATGATCGCAGAACTCTCTCGGTGTCGATATTCATTTCTCTGTGAACATGTATGAGCGCCAACGAAGATAGTCTGTCCTATACCATGGTTGAACGGAGATAAGTTTTCAGTCGCCGTAATGCACTAAATGACCGTTCAGTAGTTGATGTAGTTACTGGCATTGTAACTAGGATTGACACGATTGCAAACTATTGAAGGATATAGTTCCTTTTTAGTCACTGCTAGAGACGACATCAGAGATTTGGGCTACTCTATAACATCTGGACCAGCGTCTCTGCCATCTCTTTACCTCAGAGTTGAAGGTTTCTTGATTGTCCGTCAAGTCGTGTCTAAATGTTTCGTATAGTTTGTCTATACACTCTGCTGTCAAAGATTCCAAACGTGCAGGTATAAGGTTCTGGCCTTGAAAACGATCGGAGTTATCCAGTAAACGTCCTAGGCTGTGAGTTCCTCAATGAAATAGTCAAGAAAGGAGAAATACAAGGCTCGCTTCCAATACTGACTTGGAGTGTCAGCTGGATAGTTAGCCCGTTTGACCTGTCTTCCTTCTCATTCGTAATTTAATTTCAGAATTATTTTTTTTGTGAAAAAAATGTGCAAGCAAATGATTTTTTGCGTAAAGGCAGCTACGCGCCTGCAATTTAACCAAAAAGTTGACAGCGATTGTATTTTTCCAAAGCTCTGGGTGTTCCTTATATCTATCTAGACAAGTTCTGTAAGTAAATAAAATTAATGTTTCCCTTTTTCCATAGTCCATAAAAATGTTAACAAATCAATAATGGTGACGATTCGATAATATTCATTTTAGACGCACATTGATATTACTTTTTTTAAATCTAATACAGTATAATTTGGTATATTTTGGTGTATAGATTCCTTTGTCTTAACTGTCATTATAGAATAATATAACTTTTATTTGAAAAATATATAAAACAACTTTAACCTGAAATGTCCTTATTTTAAATGACACCTGTCGACTGGTCTGTGTATAAACAAACCAGATCATAGAATAGGTCAAAAGCAGAATTGTCAAATTATCTAGTCAAAAGCAAAATTGTCAAATTATCTAGTCAAAAGCAGAATTTTCAAATTTTCTAGTCAAAAGCAAAATTGTCAAATGATCTAGTCAAAAGCAGAATTGTCAAAAGATCTAGTCAAAAGCAGAATTGTCAAATTATCTAGTCAAAAGCAGAATTGTCAAATTATCTAGTCAAAAGCAGAATTGTCAAAAGATCTATTCCAAAACAGAATTGTCAAATTATATAGTCAAAAGTAGACTAGTCTCAATAAATTGTAAGGGTGGGTCTTGTTTAACTAATCAGACCTGACATATGTTCAACAATTCAAACGAGAAAACCAAATTTAACAAAACGAATAACAAATATGATATATAACAAAAAACGACAACAATCGTTTTACAGGCTCATGACTTGGGACAGAAACATACAGAATTTAACGCGTATGACATGTCTGTGGGCATATTGAATTTCCTGCTAATTTATGGAACTCTATGAAGTTGAAAAGCACAAAAAGTATATCTATCCACCCATACCTTCTATTCCCGTTTTCCTGTTTCTGTAAAATTTGAGTTAAGAATAACATCTTCGTAACTGTAAATTTGTATGATAATTGATGATTCTATAAATTTGGCTGGAATTATCAGTATGTCTACAACAATCAAGTTCGTCGAGTTTTTTGCAACCATATTTTTTTGGGTTTTTTTTCACATAAAAGCATGTAAATGTGTCACTTTTTTATATTTTAAGAGGAATCATCATACGTATTTTAGAAAAAAAAGTACAAAATGGATTTGCCTGATTTTCAATTGTCCGTTTTCTTCCACGAATGTTATATTTGTTTCTATCAACAAGTTGCTGTAATATATAATGATGCATATGTCTGTCCGTCCGTCATGCTTTAATTTCCATATACATATAATAAAAAGAGAACCGTCTCAATTGGTTACGCCAGACGTGGGTTTCGTCTACATACGACTCATCGGTGCGCTCGGATGAAAAAAAGGGAAGGTAAGGGTAAGACAGTTTTTTGCACCGAAACAATACAGAAGTTCCATATGTCGAACAAAGCGTTCAAATTGAAAGAGCATACTGATTGCGCCATTTTTTAATGAAACATTTAGACTCCATGCAAATACGAGTAACCTTTCTGTATAAGTTAAACCCAAATCAAAATTGAATTGAATTATATATTAGTTATGTTTGTCTATTGTATTTAGAAATAAAAGAGGGTCAATTACGATGTGGAGAACACACAGATTATGGCCCTTTAACTTTGCTTTTCCAAGATGACGTTGGTGGGTTAGAGGTATGTTTTTTATATAGCTTTCAAATAAAGTACTGTTGATGATAAAACCACTAGTTTGTATACTTTTATTCAAACAACATTATATAGAATCAGTTGTCTAAATGATTTTGGTTTAAACAGAGAGAAGATTTCAAGACCCCCTGCCCATTCCGGGGTAATTGAAAATATAAGACAATTAAAAACAGATAATACCATTTCTCTAATTCTTCGTCAATTTATCCCTTTCTGCACCCATTGTATAAAAAAAAATAATCAACGTGTGGTTCGTTTGATCTCAGTTCTTCATTGGTTAAAATCTGATTATGATGTCTAACTTACTTGCTTTCCTCTGAATTTTCTATTGTGACGGCATGGAAAAAGGCGACCATGCCTGATGACGTCACATAGAAAGAACACATCTTTTTACAGATCATTCGAAAAGACGGAATAAGTTTGCCTGCATATTGTTTGAAAATCATTAGAGAAACAGATTCCACCACCAAATCTTGTGTAATACGATATTTATCCACTCTCGATAGTTAAATTTTAAATATTTAAAACGCTCGGCGAGCCTCGCGTTTTAAATTTGAAAATTTAACTGTCTCGAGTGGATAAATATCGTATCACACTCGATGCAGTGGTAGAATCTATATATCAAAAAATAAAAAAAAAAACGACGAAAGGACTAATAACAATACAATATCAAACGTTACATAGAAAGCTAGAGACTGAGCAACACGACCACAATCAATCATAGCTGGGGAGAACTTTCGTGCTTCTGAAAGGTAAGCAGTTCCTGCTCCAGATGTGGCACCCGACATGTTCCTCAAACAAGGAAAAATCCGGTAATAAGTCGTATTCGGTAATGTCACAGTCGAGAAAAAGAAGACGGGATAGTCGTATGTTACACAAATGTTCCAGAACGGTACACTAGGTTTGGTCCGTAAAACTTTTGCCACTTTGAACCCTTGATGCAGCAGCTTCAATGTACAATATAAGCAGTAACCCTCTAGCAAGGAAATTATGATAGGAAACGCAAAATATCGTACCAACTGAGAGATGGATTCTTCGTATGCAGGCGCTGCTGGAATGTTCCAATACACAGAAATGAAAAGTTCACAATCATAGAATTAAAATCATCACTTTTGTCGTAAAGTTTATTCCTCAGCCGACCCTCATTGTCAATTTATAGCTGTAAGTCAAGATATTAGACAGACTTTACTGCATCTGTGGTATCCTTTATTTCAAATTCATTTGGATAAATGCCGTCAACATGGTCACCAAATTATTTAGTGAAAGGACATTACTTTATAGCCAGCTTATTATTAGAAACTTCTGTATATAGAATAAAGGGAAAACTGGGGACACGGTTAGTTCCCATAGACATGCCGATTGCCTTTAAAAAAACATGTCCTCCAAATTTAACAAATATGTTGTCATAAAAAATATCCAACATTTAGAAGATGTCAGTCTCAGTGCAACTTTTGCTGGAATCAAGAGTGTGTTTTAACCAATATAAAAATAAGAATATGTGGTATGATTTAAAAAAAAAAGAGACAACTCTCCGACAGAGAAGTTTACGACTATAGGTCACCGTACGGCCTTTAACAATGAGCAAAACCCATACCGTATAATTGTCCATTCAAAAATTCAAGTTATTTGCATCTGCACTTGCTATTATTTTTTATGAAACAAAATTGGACCAATTATGTTAATCTGTCTTTAAGTCTTAAATGAGGAAGTATAGTGTAAAAAGCAGAGAAGTCAAATGTTTGAATACTATTGCATGAAGAGAGGCACTTTAATTTTATGTATTCTAACAGATCATTGGATTTTCATGAAGCACACGACCCCTAGAGTAGACAGGGGGGCATTAAGTGTTATCCTTGTCCGCCCGTACGTACTTACGTCACAAAATTGGTTTCCGTTCTCTAACTTCAGTTTGCTTCTACCAAATGTTATAAAACTTTTACACAATGCTAACTACTACAAAACACAGATCAAGTTAAAATTTGGGTGGCATCAATTATACCGTTCTGAAGTTATGCCCCTTTAGTAATGGAAAAGTTACTGAATTTTTCGTTCCCGTTCTCTAATTTTAGTTTGCCTCAACCAAATGTTATGAAACTTATACGCAATGCTTATTACCACAAATTTAGATCAAGTTCGAATTTGGATAGTGTCACTTTTACCGTTCTCGAGTTATGCCTCATTATAACGTTATATGCAAGCGAGGCCATCATCCGTGTCCAATGGACACATTCTCTATTTATTTTAAAATGTCTTGAAAGTTCCATTAATTGCGTATAATATTATTAAACTATTTTCACACGACATTATCTTCAAAGACAGCATAAAGTGATAAAACAGGCTTAAAACTGAACATTTATTGGATGAAGTTATTTCTCAAGAATAAATTATAGTACAAGGACACGTGCTTTAAATTTTTCGAGAAACACATTCCTGAGCGACGTGGAAATGTAAAATCTTGGATCTTACAACCGCAACCAAGAAAAAAAATACTGCATAGACCGACGTATTGACTGTGTATATAAGAAATATATACCGAGATGATTAATAAATATAAACTAAGGAGATGTGTTATGATTACAAATGAGACAACTATCCAACATAATCCAATTGAAGCGAATTTAAGCGACTATAGGTCACCGTACGGCCTTCAACAATGAACAAAACACAAACCGTATAGTCAGCTATGAAAGGCCCCGACATAAGAAAAAACCAAAGACCTGGTCAACAACGAAATAAAAAACGAAAAGTAAATATGACAGACAGCAATAAACGACAACCAATGAACTACAGGCTAAAGCGTTGACTTTCGACCGGCATATAGAGAATATGGCGGGGTTAAACATGTTTGTTTGTGCTCAACCAAACTCTCCTTCCAGACTATTATTTTATATATAAACTCTTACGATGATTATAATTATCTGTTGTGATGTATACAAATTGTTAACAGTAGTATTGTAGTGATATGTAAGGATAACAGGAGAAAAGAAGCTACAATTAGACATGGACCGAAGAACAAAGAAAATCTATATAACAAAAGTTGCATGATATAAAATCCAAGTAAATTAATATCATTTTGAAAGGTTAGAAACCGAGATGGACAGTTTGTACCAGCCACGCCGATACCTGGTACTATTTTAGTTAACATCGGTGACATATTACAAAGATGGACAGCTGATAAGTTAATGGCCACAGTAAGTATAATAAAATTTAGTGAATTTAGGTTACGGCTTGATGTACCATTTTGTGTGAAAATAAAAACAAAATAACATTTTAACATTTTGTTTTCAATTTTCATTTCTTAGTTAATTGTAAAGTGTTTTTATTTAATTTGAAAGATATTAACTTGTTTAACCCCGCCGCGTTTTTGCGCCTGTTCCAAGTCAGGAGCCTCTGGTCTTTGTTAGTCTTGTTTTTTTTTAATTTTAGTTCATTTATATATTTCGGAGTTTAGTGTGACGTCCATTTTCACTGAACTAGAACACATTTATGTTTAGGGTCCAGCTGAACCCGACTCCGGGTGCGGGATTTTCTCGCTGTGTTGAAGACCCATTGGTGGCCTTGTGCTGTTTTCTGCTCTTTGGTCGGGTTGTTTTCTCTTTGACACATTCCCAATTTCCATTTTAAATTTTAAAACAGAATCTCCCTCCTATTTCTTATATTCAAATGTATTCCTCAACCAACTTGCATTTAATGCTAAGAGCAGAAATTGATTTTACGTCTGTTATTGGTTTTTCGGCTTTAAACTAAAATAACGCATTTTTTCCCTAAATTTTGATGCGATTCAAACATGGCTAGTGTAACCCACGCTAAAATGGGCGTCAATTTGGCAGGTTCTTAAAACGTCCCGAACGAATCGACCTCAATGCATCCACTACCCAGAGGCATTTCCACAGATAGTTGCTACGTCATAGATCTAAGGTCGATTTGGCTGATCAGGATGTATAAATACTCACCCACGTGCAGTCGGAAGTATCTGATGCCGCGTGTAGGTTGAGTGTCATGCACTCTTCGCGTTAAAGTAATTTTAAAACAACTTTTTGCAAAATTTATCTTTTTGATTAATTTGTAACTTGTTCTCGTCTTGAGTATGTACGAAATATTTGCTATTAGAGAATGTAATTTCTCTTAAATAAAAACATACTTTTTTCGCCAGTGTACATGTAGCTGATTAAGGATTTTTCAAAACACGTTCATTTATCGTGTACATTGTGTTTTTTTTTAAGTTGTTCTCTGGCTAATATTCTCTAATCAATAATGTCGTAACATTTCCCTATTTCACTAAATATGTTCACTTTGTATTCATTATTGTTAGTGGGAAACCCGATTTAAAGGTTGTCATGGGTAGTTAGAAGCACCAATTTTAACACTATAAGTAATACAAAGTCGGATATAATTGTAGGAGGAAACTATGAAAAGATTATGTTAGATACCAAACGAAATAACAATTGCTTTCTGTAAACACCAAAAACGAAATCAACAAATATAAATGAAACCACACTAAACAATATGAAAAGTAGCTAATTATGGACGCAGTAAACTAATTTGAAAACGGTAAAAGAGAGGCGAGAGATACCAAAGGGACATTCATACTCAATTCCTAAACGAAGGAGCTCATCTACAAGTACTTTTATATACCATTGATTCATTTCAGAAACACCGAATTTTGATGCCTAGTGCAAACATGGAAAGAGGACAGACAAGGCAATCTATAGCCTATTTTACTTTCTCGGATGATGACGTGATGATTGAGTGCCTGGACAAATCTAATGAATACGAGCCAATCAAAAGTATTGACTATCTAAACTCTAAATTCAGTCTCACATACTGAATACATGTATATAGAAATAGCAATATAAAGCACGCTATGCATAAAAAAACTGATGCAATTTTATTTCATTATTTGTACGTTAATTAATAATGTATGGCTGTGTTTACTATTTAGATTCTTTTCATAAAAGATTATATGACGAATAGCTAATATTGGACCTCCACATATTTCTTAAATAAATTTACAAAAACTGTTAATCTGAGTTACTCAAAACATTATGAATTGAGAAGTGGTCAAACTTTACACCAGTCAACAGATAACATTAGCTAGACGTGTCTAGTAATCCAGTTGATAATAATTACTGCATTTATCATGATACCATTGACGCCGGGAAATATCGGCCGAAACTAGTAGACCAATTAAATTGTACCTTGCATCATACGAAGTGGTATATTTACAACTATTTTTTTTGTATTTTTTTTTTTTTTTTTGTATTTTTATTATCATAATTTATTCATGGTTACAGGTTTTATCTTTTAACTTGTTTACCACCTAAAAGTGTAATTTTCCAATTTTTCAGTAGAATATATTCACCTGAATTAGAGATTAAAGAAACCACAGATACAGCTTCCCCCGTCTCATTTCATACATATACCTGGAGTTTGACTACAGCGGTCATCTCAGTTCCAGAATCTATGACAAACGAGACGATTTCAATTTGGAAATCATAAATTTTCCTCAACTTAGCAGTAATATTCCAATTTCACACGCGTTCGGAATATACATTTTTCAATGCATACTATATGCAAGAGCTTGTAACTGCTACTCAAACTTTGTGAAATGTCATCGGTGTCTTGGCAATGAATTAATGAGTCATGGTCTTGTCATTGAACGTCTCATCTTTTTTCTCAAAAAGTTCATCAGCAAATACCAGGATAAATATTCTGAGCGTCTACTGTACAAATAATACAGGATGGTCTGGCAGGGGCGTAGCTGGCCTAAAATAAAGTGCAAGCATAAGTCTTTGTAAGCCGAGCGGAGCGAGGCGAAAATTTTTTTGGGACCTTTTTATGCAGAAAATTATCATTTTTCGGTCATTTTCCAGGTATGCCATGCTTATGAAATTCACATTACTCCTTATTAACATGGTTGTTTTCAAATATAAAATAAGTTTTATAAAACAGGAATTTCAGTCGACAAGTCAACCGAAGCGTTTATCAATAGAAGGGCAATCAATGGACACATGACCAACCCGGGAACAGATAAGACACAAAAGAACAAACAAAAACATTCAATATTGAAAACTAAATACAGATAAAAAAAACACGAACCCCCAAAAAAAAATGTGGCGACCTCCAGTGCTCCGAAAGGGTAAGCAGGTCCTGCTTCTTGCAAGACACCCGACCGTAGCGTTTCTCACTAAGGTCATTTTCGAATCAAAGGAAGGGTTTCTACGACAACGGTAGAAGGTCACTTGGGACACAGATACCCAAGGTGAATTAGTAGTCTTTTGGACGAACGGATAATGGGAATACGAAATCAAACGGCGACTTTTAAGTCTTGACTTATAAGTGAGGGATATAAATCTAAGATGTTTTCAAGGTTATTGTATTGAGCCTGTATTACTAAATGTTAATACTGCATGTAAGACTTAAAGTATAGTTAATATCCAAAGTCCATATATCTATTTTTTGCCAAGGCAAATGATCGCAGAACTCTCTCGGTGTCGATATTCATTTCTCTGTGAACATGTATGAGCGCCAACGAAGATAGTCTGTCCTATACCATGGTTGAACGGAGATAAGTTTTCAGTCGCCGTAATGCACTAAATGACCGTTCAGTAGTTGATGTAGTTACTGGCATTGTAACTAGGATTGACACGATTGCAAACTATTGAAGGATATAGTTCCTTTTTAGTCACTGCTAGAGACGACATCAGAGATTTGGGCTACTCTATAACATCTGGACCAGCGTCTCTGCCATCTCTTTACCTCAGAGTTGAAGGTTTCTTGATTGTCCGTCAAGTCGTGTCTAAATGTTTCGTATAGTTTGTCTATACACTCTGCTGTCAAAGATTCCAAACGTGCAGGTATAAGGTTCTGGCCTTGAAAACGATCGGAGTTATCCAGTAAACGTCCTAGGCTGTGAGTTCCTCAATGAAATAGTCAAGAAAGGAGAAATACAAGGCTCGCTTCCAATACTGACTTGGAGTGTCAGCTGGATAGTTAGCCCGTTTGACCTGTCTTCCTTCTCATTCGTAATTTAATTTCAGAATTATTTTTTTTGTGAAAAAAATGTGCAAGCAAATGATTTTTTGCGTAAAGGCAGCTACGCGCCTGCCTGGCGTTAAAGTTTATATGTGTTGAATGCGTATTATTTTATTTACTGTACAGTTTTCCTCTTATTTATCTTGGAACTATTATGTTCCTTTGGTCGTTGACTCTTGACGTGATCGCCAGTCGGTATTTGGGCATCACGTTATCGGGTTTTCGATATGATAAGGAGGAGATCTTGGCAAATCAATACTCCTTCATGGCATTGAATATTTCATTAAGCAACACATCTGAGAAGTTTCCTTGTTTGTATTGGATACCCAAACTTTACAAAACTCCGTACAAACGATAATTCATTGCCGGCTGATCTACATGCATATCCAAATCATTTTCCGTTAGAGTATACATTTTTCCTTCCATACGAAATTAAAGAGCTAACACCTGCAACTCAAACTTCATGAAACGTCATCGGTGTTTGGGCAATAAATTATTGCGTCAGGGTCTTGTCATAGAACGTCTCGTCCTTTTCTCAAAACGTTCATCGACAAGTACCAAGACCTAATAGATAAATATTCGCAAATAATTAGCGTTGTCAAATTGAAAATGTTTACCTAACCAGTTACTCGGATAGACTTTCGACAGATTAACCGGTTAACCTGTATGCAAGTTTAATGTTCAAAGAAAATGAACCCTAAGGGTGACAGGGGTACACAGATATGGTCACTTTTGGACTTCTTTCGAAATGCAATAAAATACTTGCAAAATCGGAAAGACTTGTGACTGTGTGAGATGTATGAATTCGCAGCCAACACTAGCTTTAAGCCATTAAAGTCGAAAAGAACTTCGCACTCTCCGCACGTGAATAATCCTTGCAGTAATTCTTCGCGGTGTCCGTAGGAGGCCTGTCGGAAGACTTAATTACTGTCCTTATCAAATATACCCTTATTTTCCAGTAGCTTCCAAATGTCCGTTTGATTTTTCACGGTTTTATGGACGTCCCTCTTTATTAATTTACCTTAAAGTTCTATTTATTTTGTTAATTTTTTTTCTGTATCTCTACCCTGTCAGGAAAATACATAATAGACAAAACCCCAAACAGAATTTACAAACGGAAAATCTGGGACCTTGATGGTCTGAGTTACATTGATTGATACATACTGATAATAGATTGATGTCTGAACAATGCTGAACCCAAGATGACAGGCTCAGGACAAGTTGCTGACATGTAAGTTATTATATATATGAATATGAATAAACTGCTTGGTATCAGATCTTCATGCTGAGCTAACGATGGAGTCACCTTAAACGGACACAATTTTCCTTATCCGAATGAATCGTGTTCTCTTTTCTCTTATTCCTAAACTAACTATTGCTCGGCAGATCTACAGAAGAGATTTTCATAGTTGTACACGCCTTCATAATTTATTCGGAAAGGAGGGGGGGGAGGGTTGTGGTGTCATTTCGCCTTCAATTGTTCAATAAAAAAACTTTTGAAACCCTTAAATCTGGCGTTACTGGAAATGAGTTAAATGAAATTCATGGGTAAACTGTTCCTTCTCGATTAACGATAGATTTCATACATAGCCAGAAATTAGTAGTACTTTTGCTAATTAAAATTCATAATATGTAAATGAGAACTGTACCACGTGATAATAGTTTGAACTGTACTGGCTTGATATCATTAAAATCTTTAAAACACGGATATTATAAGTTGCCCGTCACAGAGTCCTTGTTTATAACCACTCTGATATTTCCGTAAAGTTGTCAGGCGGTCAAAATCAAAACATTGAACGCGAATTTAGTGAATTTTTTGTGTTTTCGTGAGTTTATTCTTCTTGAAATAGGGGCATTTTAACTTTACGTGGGAACCTAGAGTTCAACGACTAAACATACAAGGTTTGGACTTGCTTATTCTTTGGACATTCAAGTCTCAAGTTTTATCGCCGCAACCTGTTTTTGTAATGACCTTGTTAGCCAATTTTCAACACGAAGTTTGAAAATTTGACGTTTCAGCCATTTTAGCCTGTATTTTATACTGCAATGTTAAAAGCCTTTCGCTTCGATTTTTAAAATAGCTCAGGAACTTTGATTTTTGCAACGACAGTCATTTTGTTTCGTTTAAATGGTGTATATTGTTGTGTTTGTTTATTTTCTGTCCCCGCAACCTGTCTATCACTTAAATTAAAGTTAAAACAGACATTTTTTTCAAAATTCCCCATCATTTCAATATAATTTCCGTGACCCGTATCCGATTTCTTTAGTATAATATTCAAATAAGCAAGGTAGCCTTGATTTCTGGATATGACGATTCACTAAATTGTTTTTCCATTGGTTAGTATATTTCAATTATATTAACAAAGTTGAAACATCGGTATATTACGGATGCCTCTTATTCATGCCTATTTGTGTGTATTGAAATAAGTTTGAAAAATTTTCCAATGAATTTAATCGGATATTAGAATCAATGTAATTACCGATATTGACAATATTCATAGATCTTATTGCATTGTTAAAGTGATAACGACCAATAAGTTAAAACAGATCGTTTCTTGATTAACGAGCACTATAAACAACATCACCGTAAACATTAGGATGTAACACCCTGTTCGTAATATCATTTCGAAATAAACAACAAAGCCTTCACACCAAATATTTGTATCACTGAAAGAATTATGACATCTTTTAATGATTTTTTGGTAATGACATCACTGACTGAATATTCCATTTATACATGCATAACGCTCATTGAAATTTAAACATACCATATACTAAACTTACTATATAAAAGGACATAGTGAACGATGTGGGCAGTATACACACCGTAAAAGGGACAGAAGGAACGTCACCGTCTAAAAAAGGGAAATTAAAATTAGGATACAAAATCATCTTTATTTGTGGAAAATTTTAGTTTTGAGTTCCGCGTAGAAATTATCCAAATCAAGAAAAAGATCATTATGTACAATTCATATTGAAATCATTTAAAG